GAGCTCAAAATAGGGGTGATACTCCATTAGGAGTGGACTTTAATGTCATTAATGGTTATAGGGTTATGTTATAGGTTAGGTTAGGGTTAGGGTTAGGGTTAGGATTATCAATTATTAATCATTAATCATTAATGATATCAAAGTTGGGAACACTCCTAATGGAGCGTTAGCCTAAAATAGAGAGATTTCTATTAATAGAGTTTCTACTACTCCCCATTCCAGATATGCAATTAATGCGCAGCTATGCCAGTAGTATTTCTACAACACTCAGAAATGAGTTTCAAACACATTTTATTACGGATCAAGAACACTTTTATGATATTGAGCAAAGCGTTGACAGCTGGATAACAAGTATAAGTCATAACAGACAGCGTTGACTGTAATAACTGCATGTTGATAATCCTATGGATATCTGACAATAGATGTGCCATGAGTTACTTGATGTGATTGAACTACATCATTATCAATTATTGCAGTCCATCTACAGTTACATCATACACTAACCAAAAGCAAGCCTTTTCTATTTTATTGCGTGAACAGTTTATTGAAAACGCCAGGGTTATGCAGTTCTATTGTTGATCGCTCTCAGGAAAGCTTGCGTGCAGTCGATCTTTTTGCCGTAGGTATGACAGCTCACATCTGCCTTACCGGACGATTCGAACACTTCACATGTTCACCCATCGAACAACATAATAATTCTTCTTCCCTGTGTAACAATAAAAAGAAACGGAGAATATCCTGAATGAACGTGAAGCTTCTTTCATACAACATAACATTCATTCAGGCTTGTATCACTGCGAGTCTCCGGTAATCGGGACGTAGAAGAACTACTGAGGGTGTAAAACACCCAGGCAGTGTGGCTGAGGGGGCAAAGCATTGTAAAGACGGGTTTGTATGTAATAATTTAGAGTAGAAATAATTAAGACGACATATAGAATTTGTGTTCAACTAAAGAAATATATTGTTTACAAACAACCAGTCAGCGTTGCGTCGTCCCGTCCTTCCAGTTCCAACCGTCCCCTTCAAATGCGCTCCCGCTCTTTATATATAACTCTCTTGTCCAATCACTGCCCAGCTCTACTCTACCCCAGCCAATCACACACACCAACGCTCTCTTATTCAAATTATTACGCACGAAATGCACATATGGCCAGCATCTGTACAAGCGCCACCTATCTGCTATTTTCCCAACCTAACTATTTCTAATCTATATGCTAAACGGTCGATCCTAACCTATGCCTCTACATTTACTATTTCAATATAACATGTGAAAAACAGATGTTACATTTATCTCCCCCTTCATCATATTGATTATCCCATCATCGATTTCAGCGCCACGCTAATCTAAATGTCCCCTTACTCTTTCCTACCCTCTATCTCTAACACACACATACAACCAACAACAAGCACACTCACACAACACACACACACACAGACATACAACACACACACACCACAACACCATACATACAACACACACGACCAGCACATCCACCACATACACACACCATACACCGATACCAACACACACACCACAATACACATACACTACCACTCACGACATACAACAACATACAACACATTACACACCACCCACCCACACACACACAACACACACACACACATACACACATTACACACCTACACACCCACACACACACACAGCACAACACACACACAACACACACACACACAACGTGACCACACACACACATACACACACACACGGCACACACACACACACACACACACACACACACACACACACACACACTTGTTCCGGACGAATAGAGCCCGACATCAATTAAAATGCCGTCCTTCGTCATCATACGTCGTACAACAACTCTTCATTGAACACAACCCCCTCCTCACATAATAAACTGTTTATAAGTTTCACACAAACCTATCTATTATCTATGGTACCGAAGCCAGTACTATGGTATTCCAATGCTATGGCTTAACACTGCGCAACAAATCTCACTGACTACACTATACATATAATACTTGACACGAATTTGCGCCAAGTGAAAACCATCTGTGCGACAATACAATCTTGTAAACCTGAAAGAGAAAACAATTACACAAACTACACCAACCAATGACAACACAACAATCAATAAATTTACAACAATGCATAACCTGAAATACAAAAACAACAACACTCAATAATATACTATTAATACATATTACCAATACTTAATGCATACCTGAAATACAAAACAACAACAACTCAATAATATACCACAATACACAATAAATAATGCATACCTAAAATACAAAACAACAACAACTCAATAATATACCATAATACATAATACACAATACAATATAATAGTCTTGATCCCTCGACGATGTAACGATGTTAATATGCCCTCCCTGGTCTTGATGCTAATCCTCTGTGCGGGTTTTTCTGATGCCGATGCAATAATTGATTGCAGGACGCAATTGTCAAAATGTGTTGTGGCATTTTAATTTCTTTGATAATGTCCAATGGTTTATGCCAAAAGTTTACCAGCACTGATAATCTGCTAACACATTAGTGTTTGTGTTCACAAAGATTGTTCTAAAAAATTTGAAGGTCGTCGACTCTGCTGAATTTGCCCGTTGAATTCTCGCTGAAGTACTGCGTTGCTGAAGTATTGAAGTCACTGAAGTGATGAAGGTAGTTTTTCTTCTCCTTGCCAAAATGGTATACTAGCTGACTGCCGCCACGATGTCTTGCCGAAATATTTGTCCATTCTGTGTCAACTCTGTGCAGCGGAAGTATCGTCTGATGCGCTCTCCTCTCTGCATGTCCCCGCAACTACAACAATTATAGAAACAACCAACAGTAGCTCTATCCTAACTGATACCACTATAACTATGCCTTTAATATATGCGTGCACACATATATCAAAACCGCAATCCTATGTAATACCCACACCTCACAATCCTTATCAAACCAGCTTTATAACATCATTTATATGTCCATCCTTTCCCGTTAACATTTTAATCCCTTTCACTCCTACCCACAAATATTCACTTACATTCTACCTAACATTGTATTTCAATAGCCTGTTTCCCAATACTAGAACCAGCAATATGTAATCACGATATGATTACTACTCAATAATACTAATAATTTGCACTAATAAATCACACTCCCCCGTAACACCTGCATGCGCACTCTGTAAATGCTATCTTTCCCAACTACACTCACACTGCACTCACACCGTAACTTGTTTCGTCATTCTAAACGTGTGTCCTACCATTACCTGTCCGTGATATGTTTTACTAAACCTGCTCTTCACTTTCCCGTGGTGCTGTCACACTTCACAAAGGAAATGTAAGTCGATGACTCCCAGAAGTACGTGGATTCCCATCCGAAGGCAGATTATGCAACTCCGACACTTCCATACCTGCTCCTTGAACGATATTTGATCGAACGATTGGCGACGACCAGCAAACATTGTTCCTAAAACGACAGTAAACGACTGCAACAAATGCAACTATCACTATTAATATGATCAATGCATAAACTGTTGAATGATGCACAACTGCTTGCAAACTTCCAATCCTCTTCAAATCTAATTGCCTAAATGATTTAATTGGTACATTATTTTTGACAGCTTCAGTGAGTTCCCAGAAAGCGACATCTAGATCTGTATCCTAATACAATTTCTCTGGAACAATCGAAGATGATATTATTTTCGTATAAGTTTTTACTTTAATGTCAATTTTTACAAATAATTCTTTACAATTAACCAACGCATCAGCCGTTGAGTCCTCTCACTGATTAACGTAATTTTGCAAAATGATTCTACTCTCTTGCGCATAATACACCAGAATTGAAAAAAACGCCTTTGTATCTGCCTTACATCCAGGATTTAACGAAATTACCCCCTGTACTTCAACATTAAAAATCTTAACTGATACCTTTTCCGTGATAGCATCTTGGCATGAAACAGTGAATCTCAATGAATATGGCGTTACTACATACCAACTGCCTTGCTTTAGATGAAATACTGCTGGCTGCGGTCGTGCAGTAAACAGAATACGCTTTTGACAGAAACTTGCAATGTCATTAGAATCATTCTTAAATAATGCGATTGCCCAAGAATTTACAATATTTGTTGATCGAATGACTGTATTTAGATGACAAATATCACGTTTCTCCTGAATACATGTGCGTACACTGCGAGTATCAGGTTCGACATAATGTGAGTGATCTAATGAAATGCCTAGGAACTGTTGTAAAAAATCGAAATATGCATACATTGTAGTGTAATTTGGAAAATACACAGGAGGCCGATATATTTCATACATTGTAAATGTCTGCTCCCTATGCCGCAATGGTAACAATGCCACAACTTGAATACCATCAGCAATTGGCAGTGCGACTGTCTTAATTATCGAATAATAGTACATGCAGTAGGTACCCCCTCCCGATGCGTGGCAACATGAGTGATGCCGGAAGATTCCCTTTGATTTCCTCAAGCAAAATCTGTAGCTGGCTTGGAGAAATCAGTGCTGTCGGTAATCTTCCTGCTAATAATGAATTAATATTATTCGCCAATTGATCGAATGTGTCCTGTACATGCGCAAAAGACAACGCCAAACTGCTTATTGTAATCTGTAACCTTGAAAGTGATTTCAAATATGTAAGTGTTTGTATTTGAAATTTAGAAAAATCTCTGCCAATTTTATTAACCATTACTGTTACCTGTCGCGTGTCACTGGTTAACTGCTGCATTACTTTAGTGTTTAATTCAGTGTGAATCCTTGTGAAATTTAAAACCGTGACTGACTGATTTATCACATGCCTCATGCTGTCTCCCGACCCCTGCAAGGCAACTATTTCCTGTTGCAACTGCTTAACATCTGCCTCAGTAGCCGTCCCAAATATCATTTTAGATAATCTACCAATCCCAGAAAAAATAGCCCGCTTTGAACG